AGGAATGCATATGAAGAGGAAAGATGATGGGAAATGGGTCATACATAGTTTTGTAAAGGAGCATAATCACAATATTTATCCGGATGATTTTTTATATGCTATGTGCAGGAAGAAAAAAGATCCTACTAAGGTTGCTTGTGAGAAGAAAGGTTTGCAGGTGGCTTTAGATGATGGAGATATACAACTAATGCTTGAATTTTTCATGCATATGCAGGAGGAGAATCATAACTTCTTCTACTCCATAGATTTGGACCACAAAAAAGGCCTAAAAAATGTATTATGGGTTGATGCAAAAGGTAGGCATGAGTATATCAATTTTTGCGATGTAGTTTTCTTCGATACCTTTTATCTTACAAAAAAGTATAAGATACCGTTTCTCCCTATAGCTGGAGTTAATCACCATTTCCAGTATATTTTGCTTGGATGTGCATTGATTGGGGAAGAGACTACGTCTACTTTTGTTTGGTTGATGCGGACATGGCTTAAAGCAGTAGGTGGCCAAGCTCCGAGAGTGATTATTACCGATCAAGAGAAAGCCTTGAAAGAAGCGGTAGTGGATGTATTTCCTGATGCACGCCACTGTTTTTGCTTATGGCATGTCTTGAGAAGGATACCGGAGAATTTGGGTTGTGCAGTAGTGGAGAAACAAAATTTTATGGAAAAATTCAACAAGAGCATTCGTCGATCTTGGACTGATGAACAATTCGAAAGGAGATGGCAGAAGCTGGTTGATGGATTTGACCTAAAAGAGGATGAAGGGGTGCAATCATTATATGAAGATCGTAAAAGTTGGGCACCAGCTTACATGGAGGATGTGTTTTTAGCTGGAATGTCCACGACTGAGCGAGCTGAGAGCATAACTGCATTCTTGGATAGGTACATTTGTCCAGAGACCACATTTAAGGAGTTTGTTGAGCTGCATCGGAAAATTTTGGAAGACTTGTATAACATGGAAGCAAATGCCGACTTTGAATCACGTCACCAGCAACAAGGATTAAGATCTTTGTTGAGTTTTGAGAAACAAATGTCACCGGTTTATACAGAAGTAATATTTAAGCAATTTCAGGTCGAGGTTTCAGGTGTAGTTTCTTGTCATCTGCAAAAAGATAGTGAAAATGAAGCAACTGTAGTCTTTCGGGTTGATGATTCTAAAGAACACCAAAGCTTCGTCGTAGCTTGGAATGCAGAAGAGTTGCAAATACGCTGTTTATGTCGTTCTTTTGAATATAGGGGATTTCTTTGTAGACATGCATTACTTGTCTTTCAAATGTCTGGTGTTTCTTGCATCCCATCCCACTACATTTTGAAGCGATGGACGAAAGATGCAAAGGTTGGGCAGACTGTTACCGACATACCGCAGAGGCATAACTTTAGGTTGCAACGCTTCCATGACCTGTGTAAATTTGCCACTAAGTTGGGTGAGGCGGGGTCTTTATCTCTAGAAACTTATCACACCGCTTTTCGGACATTAGAGGAGGCATTAAAAAATTGTGTTGATGTTAACAACTCTGTGCGGGATATTTTGGGATCCAACATTTCAACTGTTGATGGTCATATTGATGTCGAACATAATCACGGGGCCATCAAGGCATCTAAGAAAAAGAAAACATACAAGAAAAGAAAGGTCAGTTTGTATTGATGCTTTAATGCAGATGCCATTATATTTCTAACCTATGCTAATTGTATGTGGTCTAAAGTGGATTTTGTATATACGTTAGGTACAATCTGAGCTGGAGGGAGTAACCATGCGGATACAGGACAGTGTCCCTCAGGTAGTTTGTTTTGTTTAATTTACCAAATCCTGATATAATGCAGAGTGTTGATGTGTTATAGTATACACTTCATTACGGCCTTTTTTTGTACTGGAACAGATGAACACCAGAGCAGATGACCTTGACAGTGGTTACATCCCTCAACAGGACATGCAAAGAGGGGTATGATGTTATGAAGCATCCTGAATCATTCCAAGATATTGTAAAAAGTTAAACTGAAAATTGCTACAGTATTAGTTTCTTTTTGCTCTTTCATAGATTCTTATTCATGATTTGCTCATTTCTTTAGGAACTTGATTCTAGAGCTCAAGCCCTTGATGGCTATTATATTGCTCCGCATGGTATCCAAGGAGTGGTAAGGCATCTTTTATTTATTTTATTTATTTTAGATTTTTATTTTTTCCCCCTGAATTACAATCTTACACAACATGCTACATCAATGTTGTTTATACTTATTATTGGGGCAGTTAAACTCAATTTCCCCTATCCGTGGTAGTTACTATACACAGGGCATGCAGGTATGCTCTGTTCTATCATTCCAATCTCGATTATTTTGTATAAAACATTTCAAAGTTTCCATCATTATGATATTTACGTTCTTCATTTCCTTAATTTGGACAGCTGCATTCTGTGCCAACGCGGGTTGTTCACTATGGGAACCAACAGAATATGCAAGGACTGGTACCGTATTTTATGCTAGCACATTCTTTGTATTGACTAGTACTGTTTACTGCACTGAATACTAAAAACAAGCACCCTTTTTTTTTCTTGGGTTGTGTAGTTGCAAGGACATGTTGGTTTCAAGGTGCCAACCGCGCATGGCTGTTTTGACCTTGAGGGCAATCTGCAAAATATGGTGTGCATTTGAATAATGCAAACAGTATTGGGGGTTTTCTTTTTTCATGCAGGATTCTCAATTGGTTAGTTTACTTCTCTTTGGCTGCAGGAACAATCTGTGGCTTCCTCACAGTATCACAGCATTGCATCAAAGCATTTGCAGGTTAAGCACCTTTCCAGGTAGTTGGATCACATATCCTTTCAAAATAGATGACCCAGAAGAGGAGATTTTAAAAACATCCTCAAACAAAATGGGGTTTGAAATGTTTTTCCTCTCCTCCAAAAGTCCCCTTTCCATATTTTGACTGTAAAAAGCGTCATGTATATTTCGTGTCATGTGTTCAGTAGATTTTCCAGTGAGATGAAGTTATTGCCAATTTCTTCCTTTTCTTCATTCGTCTTTTTTCTTCTGGTCTTCCTTATATACAAACTTTAATTTATACAAAGAGGAAAAGGGAAGAAAACATCATGTCTCCTGCTATAGATTTACCTGTAGTAGAAAGGACAAACACTCGTATGTTTCTTTTCATCCTTTGAAAAGCATTGCCCTTTTCCAAGAACCTGTTTATAAATATGGCAATATGCCTTGTGTACATTTTGTGCAACCATCATATCACAAACGTAACCCTCTTAAGCCCTTGAGCCTTGGGCGTTCTCGGTCAAGCATATATGCATAGAGATGAAATGGTTGTATAAAAGAATCGAAGTAGTTGGTGTCTTCTAAGTTCTAAAACTTGTATGAGAACTTAAGAAGCCAAGCCAGCATCTTTATCATCATTCATAGTCCAGTGACCTCTGTTGCAAAAGTCCATTCCCTAGCTTAGTACTCATCAATTTGTAAACGCAGGGGATGTGTGTATTGGTTATGCAGAAAACGAAAAGTATAGCGTGCAACCGTGCAATTTACTCTAAAAATAAACACACACACATATTCCCTGTATTGCGTAAATTGCATTGTTGCACCCTAAATTTTTCGGTTCTTTTCTTTCTTTTATTTTATTTTTTATTTTTATTATTATTATTTTTTTGCATAATACACCTCGAACTTTCAATTTTAGAAAATTGTACCCTAAATTTACCTTCAAATAAGTGGCAATTGAAGTCCTATGGCTGCGGCATTATCAAATTGACGGTTCAGGACACGGCATTCGCACGTGACCTCGTGATTTGAAAAATGACGAGCTTTGCCTTTCATGTGCAAATCTTGTGTCTCAAAGTGTCTATTTGATAACGTTTGTTATATTGGACCTCAATTGCTACTGATTTGCAAGTTCAGGCGTAATTTGTCAAAATTAAAAGTTTGAGGTGTATTATGCAAAAAATGAAAAGTTTAGGATGCAACAGTACAAACTCTTATTTTTACGCTGCAAGTAGATTTACCAGGTTGGGATAACGTGTGATGGATGACTGAGTTTTGTTCTAAAAGATCCTCCACTGAAAATTTCGTTCATATTTTTGTCTCTAAACCTTGCTAGACTTTAAAGCCCTATATCCATGTCAAATTTCTTAGTTTTAACTCGTGTGCCAGGAAAAGAGAGATTAGAAATCTCTTTAATCACCCTCAGGAGATGTCTAATTCTGTGAAGAAAAAGGGTATAGGAAATTCATAATCAGTAATTAATGAAATGACTCTGAATTTATTTCCAAAATATAAATACAACTTATTTTCTATGCTATGTCAGTGTACATGAGATCTCTTCCTCAATTTGCACCATAGTCCATTCTTTGTATGAATGGTTGCCCCTGTGACTAGCTCCACAGATTCTGGAGATCCTTTCAACTCCACGTCAAACTTCTGTAACAACATCGCTAACGCTACTGTTGACTCCATGAGCGCAAATTGGTCTCCGACACACTTTCGCGGTCCTCCACCAAATGGCAAGAAAGAAAAGTCTGATATGATCTGATAATTCCAACCATAATCCCATTAGTTATATTTGTCAGGACAAAAATTAGGCCACTGAACACGCAGGGGCAAGTAAATAACCTCGTTCGGATACAATGCTCCAGGGCTGCGAGAGGGGTCAAAACCATCCCATCCTTCAATGCATTCACCCTTCTTTTCCACCAAGAACCTCTCTGGTTCAAATTCATTAGGACGGTCCCAAAAGTATGGCGATCTATGAAGGTTATACACCTGAATGGACAAGTTTGTGTTTTAAAAAAGAGCGATTCTATTTAGCTAGTTGGCCCTGCACAGAGATACAATTGACAACCACATCTGGAGCACCCATTTTATTGCTCGCGGCTTTTTTGTTAAAAAAAACACTAGAAGTAGAAAGTGCATGGTCAAAGAGCTTGTGACCATGAAAATAAACATGCAAGAAAAGGATATTTAGGTCCTTAAGCTTTTGTTCGAGGAATATGGTTTTGAAAAAAAAAAAAAGTGAGAGTCCGAGACATAAAAAGAGGGAAGGGAATAGAAATCTTCTACTCACAGAAATGAAGATGTCTGTCCCAACAGGGATTTCATAACCATTTTTGTCACCATTATACCCTCCTGCATAAATTGATACGGATTTCTTAACTCATACATGACAAGAAATGAAAATTTCTGCAGCAGGATTCTTCAACTGTGCTATCTCATTTTGGAACATTGAATAGGAATACCTGGCAGTTTATCTGATTTAAGAGAACGTCTAATAAGCAAAGGGGGTTGAGGATATAGACGAAGAGCCTCTACAACAATAAGTCTTATGTACCTGAAAAAAAAAAAGGAAGAAATCATTTACATGTTAGTGTCTTTCTCATGAGCAACAAGTATGCAATCTGTAAATAAACCAAGTTCACGCCCGTTTTGAGGACCGACACCCCACTAAATAGCTGATTTCAGTTTCAATGAAGAACTTAGTTACAAAATAGAGTGATTTTCATTTACTTGTAGAGAAACATGTTATTTGTTCCCTGTTTATAAGGTTATGAATGGTCAAAATACAAGTTTTCCCATGTGTTCATTGCGGACCAGACTGATCCCAAATGTATTTTGTGCTATATATGGTAATCTTTTCAGATATCCATATTATATATGGAACTTTTGTATTTGTGAAAAAGAAAAGGAGTTGATTTTTAATATTAGGCGCCCCACATTAGTTGATACCTCGAGTGAAAGAACAAAAAAAGATTCATTAAGGTTCACTTTCCAAAGGTATTAGTGATTAGATGATTTTCTCAATTTCAACATTCATATCATGAAGATACAATTCAAAATTAAAAACTTCAAGAAACTTATTTTCTTCCAATAAAGAGACTCAAAATTAAGGAATGAGATTCAAGGTCAAGACATCAACTTTGAAATGAGCGTGGATTTACTGCTAGGCTAAGCGTACAACCGCTCCTTTTTTATATAAGCATCAATAAGTTATCACAACAATTTAGTATAAGTTTAGCACTTCTCTGCGTGCATAATGTTAAAATGTTGTAAACAATATTCAAAGATGTAATAGGCTTAGAGACGTACTCCAACTTTTTGATCAATTCAAACGTTGGTTTACCCTGTCCAAGCACTGAATCAATCTCTTTTTGTGCCTTTCTCATTTTGGACAGATTCTGCAGTACAGAAAATTAATTAAAAATGAATTCATTGATGTATTTTGAGAGCGGGAGAAAGATGAGAAGCCACTGAAGAAAACAAAATAGCCACAACTATAATAATTTGTGGAGAATCATACTTGAGCAAGCAGGAAAACAGCCCAAGTAAGAACAGCAGCTGTTGTTTCATGGCCAGCAATAAGCATAGTCATCAGGTCATCCCTCAACTGTCAAGAAAACAAAACTAAAACACATTAAAAAAGAGAGACAAGAGAAAAGAAATACCTTATTATTAGCCGAGTAATATGATAGAATCGAGCAGTATATAACCAGATATTTTCGATTGAAATCCTGTAGGAGCATAAAATGAAGTTCATAATTGTTTCACCTGACGGTCATCAACATCGGCTCCCCGCATATCAACTAAGAAGCGCAAAAGACTTGCATCCTGCAAACTTCACAGTTATAAGATCATAATTATGAAACTTTTAGAAAGAACCTAAGAATAACGTCAGGCAAATGTTATAATATTTGCATTAAACCATTTATCAACCTGCAGATTTGAGTAGTCCCTTTGTTGCAATTTCTCAACATCTGTTTCCTGTCATTTGATGTCAACAAAATCAAGTAGCTGACACTGGTTAGTGATTGGATTAGCTTTTTAAAGCACTAAAAGTAACTACTCTAGCACGCATTTACAAGAAACCGTAGTAAAAATTACGAAATGCAAAATGATTTCTTGAAAAATATGTTGATGAAGAAAACCAAAATGGCATGGTAAAAGTTGTTAGGAGAACCCTTGCACACATGTGCTTAGTTTTCGACAAGCACTGGCTGCTGGTTTTGCTACTGTAGAATTAAAATCCTAATAGGAAGAAGCTATAGTACATCCCATTTTTCTTGGACGTGCCGTGCAGCCCGATTTCAGCCATTAGATTATAAAAAGAAATGACCTAAGCCGTTGATTTTTTTCCAGCTAAAAGCTGACAACTTTCTTTTTTAACAGCTGAGATCGTTTGTATCATCTAGTCGCTCAAATTTGGGCTGCATGTACCATAGTTTGCACGTAAACCAAATGATTACAATAATTACTTGTATGATTGGAGGTACAAAATACAAAGATATTTGATGTTATCTAACCTGTCTTGTCTCTTTTGCATTTCTGATGAGTCCATCAAGACAGTCATTAATAACCTTGAGGTCATTCTGGAACTTCCGCTGCCGGGGAACTATCCACCTCATGAAGGGAACTTTCCAGTATGGAATGTAAAAGGTCGACCTATGCTCGGCTTCAAAAAGGGTACCATACACTGCCTGTGGAAAATTTATAAGAAAAAATCAGCATTATAACATTGTCGAATGAAATGGAAAATCGATAGATTTAGAAATTGGAAAAGAAATGTACTATTGTATGCTCAATTATACTGATAATACATAATGTTTGGTTATTCAAAAAGCTGTATATCAGGAGTTTACTTATCTTCTTTCAACTTCTGTGTAATCCACATATTGATAAACCTGAATAGCTATGTACGTGCAGAAGAAAAACTTTTTAACTTTCTTAGGAATGCATATGCAATGTCATATAGAAAACTGGTTTTTTTATGGTGAAAATGATGTATCTATGGATGTGCTTGAAGCCAAATTGAACTATCATGACAACTTTAAAGAATATATTGATGTTTTTGAACCTTAATCACAGGCGATTCTTTTGTTACAGAACCAAAGTCATAGTTGAAGACACCGAGCCCGATAATATCAAGCGCGAGACTTGAAAATTCTGCCTCAAGATCCAACTCAATTGTCTTCCCCCCTTGCAAGTGCTGTCTTTCTAGGAGCTCCTCAAATTTCGATATTGTTCTTTCTGAACAATTAGTAAATATTTTGACCATAGCTTCCAAGTACAAGGCATGGAATCCAGGAGCAATAACTGCAAAACAGATTTGTAACAACTTAGAAGAAACTGGCTGAAGGAGTTGTAACAAGACAAGAGTCTCTTCCTTTTCAACCAAAAAAATAAAAAGTTCAAAATTAATAGCTTTAGAATTCATAGTCTAAATTTTTTTAAAGAAACCAATATTAAAGAATATAAAATTGAAAAAACCCCATTATATTGCACTTACATTATGGTCTATCATCAAGTCCAAGAAAATCATGTAGGGGTTAAGCCATATAAGTTGAAAAGTTAAACAGAATTACATTCTTAAACTTGCTCACCTCTTCTCCTCAGCTTCCATGTATCAAGGTCAGCAGGTATAAGTCCTTTACCCATTATGGGTTCTAGGATATCAGCAAGAACTCCCTACTTGAGACATAAGAAATTGGGCAAAAAAATATCAGAAGAGATTACTATAAAACATAAAATATCAATTTAGGCTAAAACAAAGATTTAGAACCTTGTCATATGAAAAAGCATTTTCGCGAAGAATATGCCTTGCAACAACAGGATCTGATACAACAACAAAGGCTTTTGGTCCAAAAGCAAGCTTATACACTGCGCCATGCTGCCAAATTAGACAAATTTAAAAGAAAATAAGGAAAATGAGGACTTGGAAGGCTTTCAACTATCACAAAAGACTAGAATATGTACACAAATTTTGATCGAGGTATGGATTGCCATCAAAAAAATATATGCAAGTGAACAGGAGATGAAACCAATGGCAGAATGAAGGTGTTACAAATCAGGAATACAAATTTAGTAAAGGGAATTAAGTTCCTTATTTCTTTGAATTCTAGTGTTTACTTCTTTTTCTTTTTCTTTTTTGGTATTAAATAAAGTGGGCCCACACACAAAAGGAAAATTAATTCCTTCGATATGGAGAAACTAATCTTTTCCTTAGAAACGGAAGTAACCACCTTCTTTACTAAACACGCCCTTATTTTAATCAATTATTTTCTACATAAGGGTAATTATTATAACCACACTTATTATTATTCCAATTCCTTTGTTTAGTAGACAAAATTGGAGTTTAATTCACTGGAATTTATTGGCAATGGTTTAGTAAACTAAACACTTTAAAGCAATTCTGGAACTCAATTATGCTGGAACTTAATTCCTTTTTAAACTTATCTCCAATTCTTTGGATTTCTTATTAGTAAACGCGCCCTTAGCACCAGAAAATTAGCACTTCAATTATAGCAATGAGAAGAAAATTTGTATGTAAAAATTTAAGTACCTCTAAGAACCAATCATAAAGTGAAAAGAAGAGTGGTCGATCGAACAAATCGGAGACAGCACCTTCGGCCACAGGCATAGACCCTAATCTTCCCCCACTTAACAAATTGGTAAGGAGATTGCTTGCATTGTCCAGCAAATTTCTTTTCGTTTTCAATTCATCTGTACTAGTTGATTGACATCTGAATTCCACAAAAATAACCGCCACATATATTCAATAATTTCCACAATACTCATTTAAAGGGTAAACAAAAAAAAATAATAAATAAAAGAATTGATTTATTTTTTTATGAAAGTTTCTCTTGTAAGACCAAAAAAATAGAATTACCGGTAATTTTATTTTTTCAGCCATTTTCAACCATTAAATCTGTACAAAAAATTGTCTATTTTATATATTTTTTTAATCTCATTTGATTTTGATCAGATCTAGAAACTGGTCTTACTGATAGAACAGCCAACGGAGCCAGTCCCTTTTTTTATTATGAGAACAACAATTCTCTCTTATTTCTTTGTTTCCCCGGGAGCTAAAAGGAACTAATTTTCCTTTTGTTCTTTCTTCTTCCACTTGTTTTGTTACTTGTTAAATTAAGTGCAAATATAATAAACACAGATAAAAAGGAAAAATTGTCAACACTCTTTAAAATATGTATAGTTTCAGCTTCCTGAGAAACAAGAGTCTCAAACAATTTAGAGAAGAAAAGGAAAACGACAACAACAAAAACGTATGTCCAAGACCCAGAAAGCATTGAAACGACAAATACGTCATCTGGGTATCTCGTAAATCTTTTGTGATGAATGAATTCCAAAGTGAGTGCAAAGAAAATTTGTTTTAAAAAGAAAAAAAGAAAAGAAAAGAGAATTTACCTTACACGAGATCTTTTGGGCTTGAAATAGAGAAGATTTGAGGCGGATGAAGAGTGGAAAGAACCAAAATCAGTTGTTTGAAGGTTGACATTCACGACAGTTTGGGAAGAGAGATGCAAGAGAGAAGCAGAAGCAGCAGCAGCCATCGCCACTGAGCAAGTTTCCGAGATTTGCGTGGTGGGTTTTGTTCAGACAACACTAACCCATAATATCACTTTTACTAAAAACCAACGTAGATTTTGCTGTCAACTGTCATATTCTATCGGAGGAGAAAGGCTAATCTTAAATTTTTTTTTTTATTTTAATTTGAGTTAAGATATAATTTTATATATTTTTAAAATTTTTAATTTGAGTTAGAGATATAATTTTATACGAGAATTTTTTATTATAATAAAAAAATTAAATATAATTATTTTTTATAGTTTTTTATTGTAATAAAATTTGAATTTTAAATTCGAATCAGTTAAATAAACGAAACTATAATATATTATGTTAGTATAATTTACGTGTCAAATAATAAATATTGTCAGTAATAAAATAAGTGATATTAGCATTTTTTCTATTCCAATTTTCTCTTTTTTTTTTTCTTATAATATTTATTATACCACATATCTATAACTGTCTTCATTTTTCATTAATATACTATCTTTTTGCTCAAAAAAGAATTCATTAAGGTACTATCTTAATCCATAAAAAAAAGTACTATCTTGATTGTGTTAGTTAAATTTTGTTACTCCTGCCTCTAACAAATAAGAGAAATTAGGTGAGGTAACCGATTTTGACAACATTTTTAGAAAAATGCGAAGCTCTGTATTTTTTTTCTCTCTCATTTTTGTACTCTTCATATATGCTGTTAAAAATAGGGGTAATTGTAAAAATAACCTCTAACATTTAATTAGTTTAATTTTGTTTTAAATTTTTGATATTATAACTTGACCTTTAGATTTGACATCATAATGCAAAAGTTATGCCTAACGAATTTGTACACTATTTTGATTTTTGTAGTTTTATGTGTTCGTTTGAAATAGAGTTATAAAATAATAGTTTGAGCAAATTTTAAATTTGAGAATCCATTCATAATTTATCTAATTCATGCATAATATCATGAAAAATAGATATAAATTTTTTACTGCTACTATTCTTGTTATAATTATGCCATTAAAATATTGTTGGAAAAGTTACAACTATGGTAAATTTATAAAATAATTTTCAGAAAAGAAAGAAACTACTAATTTTAAATTTTAAAGGATGATGTGAAATGAGTACGTTCTTCATTGATTTTTTTCCTTTTTTTTATTTTTTATTTTTTTTATTTTTTGGAAATGATACAACACTGATGTAACACTAACTCAATAAAATAGAATATAATCGCAATTCAAGACAAAAAAACAAATGCTAAGAGTTGGGAAAAGAATAAGTAAAACTACATCCAACTTTATTTGCTGTCTAAGTTAATGCTCTGCCCACTGAGCACGAACCAAAAAGCCTAACCCACCAAAATCCACCAAAACATAAGGAGATAAGTCAAGACCCAAAGCAAGAGCATCTCACTTTCCTTAGTATTTTCTCCCCCACTTTTGATTGCACTTGGCAAGCACACATCTTTACAAAGTGGAAAGGAATTTGTTTCATTCAAAATTATTGCTGCTCTTTCGCTAGGCTAATTTGTAAGAAAACCTCCTTCCATAGCATTGACACATGTCATGCAAATATTAATTATTATTAAACAGTTTATTGTAAAAATACTCTTTTATCATCACTCTTGAATTTATTTTTTAAAAATATATATTTTATTTTTCATTTAATATAATAATAAATAAAACACAATTTTTTTTAATCCCAATTGATAAGAAGAGTGGGATTAAAAATTCATAACATATTCTTTTTAACTTAATTCATAATATATTTGAATGGTATTTTTCAAAATATCACATTCCAAAAAAAAATGAAATTAAAATTAAAATGTTTATTTACTATACCTTACATGTAAATTAAAGTTAAAAAATAGTTTTTTTTTTTTTGTAATCTAATTTTTTTAAGAATGAGCAAGATTATCAAACTATCATTTCCCTTAGATTATGAGTTTTCCATTAGAAATCTTAACAGAATGAGGTTTTTTATTTAACAGCATGTACTTCCAGAGAAACGGATGTTGTGTTTTAAAGATTTAAGAATAAAGTATTACACGGGCCATAATTCAAAGAATTTTTGTAATTAATCCGATTTTATATCTACATATGTACCTAAAAATATTATCAGGTAGTAATTTGCATAGCTATTATCATCGTCGGATTTTCGAATTCACGGATCTATTATTTTTATGAAGTTTTCAAAGTTGATCACTTATTAGATTTGAGCTAGAATTGTTGTGTTAGTTTCTCACAGTGGGAATTTATGGCACCAATTATATCGAGCAGGCGAGTGTGTTTCCTACTGGTGCCCAAATGTTACTTGAAAAACAAATGTAAAGTTTATCACTTACGAGTTTGATTTAGAACCTTAAAAAATAAAAATAAAAAGTTTCGTAATCAGTAACTAACTAACTAACTAACAACGGGCAATGTTACTCCATAACTAAAAGTAGTAGCCTGAAAAGTTACCAAAGGTAACCAACCAACTGCGCTTCTTCGATGATCATCGACCTGTGCTGGTAGTATCCTGCCAGGTTATTGGTGGTGATTCCTGATGGTAGTTAATCTGCTAGCCTACTGCAAAAACATTAACGGAAGAAGTAATCTCTGTTCACCAGAGAATCCTGATGTTTACTTCTGGTAACCTAGTAGGAAGCAACGCTGGTTGCCGGTGAGAAGAGAGAGAGAGAGAGAGAGAGAGGGTGGGGAGATGGAGGAGAGAAAGAAATGAAGGTAGGAGAGAGAAACTAGTCTATATTTCTGTATATTCTTTGACGTATTAATGGACATCTTCCTCTTTGACGTGAAGATCATGTATTAGATAAAAATTATCACAAATAGATATAAATTAAAAGAAATATCGCCACACGCAAAAAGGAAGAGACTCATAGAATGGCAGAGGCAAATAGGGCTTTTGCACATTTTCGTTAATCCATGAACAGGATCTATATAGACACATAGACCCATGGATCCATACATCTCGATCGGAAAAGAATCAATAGAAAAATAAAGAATCGGAATTGATCGATCTATTTCTCGAAACAAACGAAAAGAAAACGAAAGACGAAACATAAATCATGGATCAACTAAGCCCTCTCGGGGACTTGTTTAAGAACAAGAAAGAGGAATCTCATGTAAATATCATGGAATAAGTTTTGATCCTATTCATGGGGATTCCGTAAAAATTCCATTCCAAAAAGAGAAAGTAGAGTATATATCTATAACCTATTAACATATAAAGAAAGCTCGATGCATTTTCTATTCACCCTCTCATAATTCACTATTCAAACTTTTGGTTCATTTATTTTGTCTTTTTGTGCCCTTTCTTATTGGATTTTTAGATAAATATAGTATTTATAAGTAAATACGATATTGATAAAAAAATACGGTATTTAACGATTGTCAAATTTTTGGATAAATATAGTATTTATGAAGAAATAAGATATTTACGAGAAAATACTATATTTAATGGAAAATACGGTATTTACGTTACTGAACTTTCGAATAAATATGATATTTACGAATAAATACAGTATTTATTATTAAATACGGTATTTATTAGCTGTTAGCGCCGGCCACTGGTCTCCCGTCTCTAGTCTCCCGCGCCGGCCATGGTGGACCTAACTAGGCATGGAGAAAGAGAGGAATGGTGAAGGAGTATTTTTGGGATATTGAATTATGCTATAAACTACATGTTTAAAGAAAGGACGAATTTTCAATAGTTGTGTTTCCATCAGTAGTTAGTATTAAGTATAGTAATTTGATGACGTGGCGTGATAAGAATTCACTTTCATTAATTATCATAAATTTTTTTGGTAAACTATTTAATTTATTACAACTGTTGGATCAATATCTTATGGCTAAAATAATGATACCCATTGATAAATAAATATTAGAGTAACCATTAAAACCACACCTTTTAAAAAATTATTCTATACTTTACTAATCACCTTATAAAATATGCTAGTTCACTCAATTCCCTTTGATTTAAGAATTTTTGAAGAATTATAATTTGACCCCTAAAATTTGAAAAACCTATGGTATAAAAGTCTACACGAGAAATGGAAAATAATGAAAAATGATTATGGTTTGACCCTTTTGTTTATTTATTTATTATTTATTTGTGTTTCTGAAGGGGACCATAAGTCTATCATATATACATTTTTGGTTTGGATGTTTTTGTCCTAGGATGTGAGACATATTATCCTAGCTAACTTTAAAAACGGGTTCTTAATCTTCTGGAAGTCTAGAATTTTCTAAGGGATAACTTTGAATGTTAGGTTCTTTCTTTTTTTTTTTCTTTTTTTTTTTTGGTGAAAGGACTATTCAACTTTGAATGTTTTTGATAATATTCAACTTTGAATGTTAAGTTATTGAAAGAATAATCCAACCCTCAGAAACACAAGTACATGTAGAAAAGCATGACGTAAATGCTGAAGGGAATCTTAAAAGATTGTTTGAATATCACTTGCAATAAAAAAAAAAAATGGCTCATGCAAAAATATTTTCGTTTTCTGAAAAATAGAATTAAAATTAAGGGAGATTTTTTTATACGACTCGCGTATCGGTAGATTAAGTTTTCTAACAATTGAATTTGTGTATTTTTTAACTTTTACGTGATTTTATACATATTTAATAAATAAAAAACTTGACTTACCGATATATTAATGTATCGAAGAAAGTCCATAAAATAAAAATTAAATAGTATTATGGATCACAAGTTTTCTACTGCATTTAGATTAGGAAAATGATTATTTATGTAAAACTGACATTGGAAGATCGAAATATCAATGACACAGACATCAATTGACCTGAAAATCTTAGTAATATATGTACACTAGTTACAAAGGACTTGAGAGTTCCCTTAGAAATAATGAACTTCAAAAAAAAAAAAAAAAGTAAAAATAACCACTTAGGACAAAGGCTCTTTGAATATTCTGTCAAAAGGCAACTCCAGTAACATCCTCTTTATTATTATTATTATTATTATTTTTATTTCTTTTTTTTTTTGGCCTTTTCAGAGTAACATCCTCCTTTGTTGTATTAAGCATCGTCTAAAGAGATCAACTTTTAAACTTCACCTTATAAAGAAAAGAAAAATTGAAG